AAAACAGTTAAGTAAATAAAATAGCACTTGTTACAACAAAGGTATGCAGAAGACAGCACTTTGTACCTTGATACAGATGGGCTACAGAAGCAGAAGACCACACTGACTGTCACTCCTGTCAGTTAAGAACAGAAAACTTGGGCTACAGTTTGCATGAGCTCAACAATACTGGACAATGAAATTTTGCCAGGTCCAATGAGTGTCAATTTCTGGAGGGTAGTGTCAGAATTTGGAATAAGCAACATGAAAACATCCATCCATCCTACCTTGTAGGCCCTATTGGGCCCCTTAGCACTAACTGAGCATCATTTAAATGCCACAGCCAACCTGAATATTGACGCTAACCATGTCCATCCCTTTACCACAGTGTGCCCATCTTGTGTTGGCTGATTCCAGCAGAATATTACGCTATGTCACGAAGCTCAGGTGATCTCACATGGCCACCAGAGTCGTTGGGTCTCAGTCCAATAGAGCAAGCTCGGGATGTGGTGAAACAGGAGGTTCACATCATGGATGTGCAGCTGACACATCTGCAGCAATGTTACAGTGCTATCATGTGAATATGGATCAAAATCTCTAAAGAATGTTTCCTGCACTGTGTCAGTCTACGCAATGAAGAATTAAAGCAGCTACAAAAGGAAAATTGGCACAACATAGTACTAACAAAGTGTATCTAATAAAGTGATTGGTAAATGTGAATACTGTAATTGAATGGCGACGTGTGTGGGGAACACACCCTGTCATATCAAAAACTCCACTGACTTCACGAACGAGGTCCAGAAACTTACCCTGGATCTACATGAAACCATCGTGTCCTTTGATGTGGTCTCACTCTTCATTTGTATACATGCAACTGAGGCAGTCAGAAAACAACTACAGCATCAGATTTGCACATGTTTAGACCTCTGCCTTATCACCACATATTTTAAATACAACAAGCATTTCTACAGGCAAAAGCTTGTACCATGGGCTCCCCAGTGTCACGTATTGTAGCCAACCTTTGCATGGAGGAAGTGGAAATTAAAGCTCTTGGCTCTTTCACAGAGACAGCGCCTAGCCCCTTAGAGATGGTGGCATGACAAAAAGACTGAAAGCTGATAGAAGTATTAAATAATTTCCCCTAGGGATCAATAAAGTATTCTGATTCTGAAGTAGAAGAAGATCTGTATTTTTAGGATGAATGATTTTAATAAATAATGTATATATACAACCCCAGCTGCAAAATAGTTGGGATGGTGGGAAAATGTAAATAAAAACAGAATGCAGTGACATAAAAATCTCATAACCGTTACTGATACCAACGACCTTCCCACTAACCAGGTGCTGTAGTTCATACTATGACAAAACGAGGGCGCTAAACACTCACATTTCAGTAATCGTTTAGCACTTGTCAAAGTAGAAACAACACCATAGTTACACTTCCGGTCACTCTTTAAAAAATAAATGCATGTTTTCAAAGGCTTAAAAACACAAAAGCAGACAAATATAAAAAAGGCGGTATGTTACTGAAACGAACCACACGGAGTGTATAAATAAAGCAGTCTGTGATAAATACTGAGCAAACAAAATACTCACTGTGAACCTTTAAAAAAAAATAATTTTAGTCTATAACAAATATTTATTTCAGCAGGAAATGTTTCTTTAGTCTGATTTCTAACCTGATGCTGACATGAACACCAGCAGGTTAGACTGATTTCCAGAACTAAAGAGTTTATCCCGTTTATTTACTTTTTTTTCTCATCAGAAAGTACGCAGGTGATTAACTTTCACCTTTAATGGACTAATACTCATCCAGCTGGATCCAGTCTGAGCCCGCGGCCTTGAGTAATGAAAAACAGATGGTCAATCTCAGTTTATTACTCTTTGTATTGCCGTGGCACAACTGCTGTTGCTCATCTGCACATCCTTCACTTCACAGCGATGATTCCACTGAGTCGGAGCATCATTTCCTCTCTCAGCTCCTCTGGGAACTCGAGGAAATCACTGTTTGTCAGGCCTGGAGTCCAGGCTGGCTCACTGTTATTTTAGCTGTACGCCTACCCGCTGATGGACTGTCTAATCTTGATGACTGTTCCATTTAATACACTAGTTTCCTGTCAATCAGCCATGGAAGGATCATCCTTTTCACGGTGGGGCACTTTAGGGAATTTAATTTTCAGCGGAGACAACACAGCAGCAGAAAGTGGGTCGTTATCGTTCCTGCTCCGAGGTTCACTTTATTTTTAGATGGGTGTTAACATTTCCCGAGGAACATATAAATCTCTCTCAAAATGTGACAAACCCTGCTGCTGATTTCTCACTTTTAATTTTATTTTGGGGGATAAAATTGTCCTTAGATGAACCATCAGCAGTGGAGCTCCAAGGATTAGCGGACTGAAAAAAATGACTGGGAACAATTTTGATAGCGATTAATCATTTGGAGTGATTAAAAAGTTGTGCGTTAATGGCCAAAACGTGTTGCTGATTTTCATAAAAATAGCCCCCCCAAGGGCTAAAACTCAAACCTTTCACCGCAAAGAACAAAAAAAAAACACATGCGCTCATGAGCTTGCATAATGATGAAGATTTATTCTGCCTGTCAGGCCCTGATTGTGCTGCAAGAGCTGCGTTTCATGTTGCATTCTTCTGCTGACAGGGACCGAGAGGGGAGATATGAAATTGTAATGTAGCGCTCAACACAATCACCCTCCTCCTACATGAACTTTTGCACGTTTTCTAGCTCTCTTTCTGTTCCAGTTTCCATGTCATCATCACATCACCGCTTCTTCTTCTTATACTGGTGGATGGTGGAGGTGAGGTGGAGAGATGATGGTGAGGGTGGGTTGGATTCAGTGACTGACACCTCCCGGAGGAGAAAAGAAGGTTTTAGTGAATGTCTGCGCATAGAAAGAAAAACAGCTGGGGAGTGTCAGCATCCACACACACACTGTAAGATGTGTTTTACCAGCACCAGCGAGGTCTTCTGCTGCCTGTTTATATTAAAGAAGACAGCTGGTGCCATCGGGGGGAGAATTCTTGGGGGGAAATGTCCATTTTTAGTCTGTGTCACAGCTGTCACTGCCTCACCTAAATGGCTCCATGAGTCAACAAGCACGCAACACATACACACACACAGTGTCCACAGCAGGACAAGCTTCAGGTATTTTATTCCGATGACGCAATCACAACCGAAGTAGTCTCAAGTGCCTAATTTAGTGCCCAAATTTTACCCCCTCATCTCCTCAAATCATGCTTTTTCTAATTGATATAAACAACTTAGAAAACACAGGCGCGACCTGGATCTCCGTCACACCCGTGTGACCTGGTTTAATTGCTACTGACACACTGGAGCCCTTCCTGCTGCGAGGCTCCTTCCGCTGTCGGTTTTGCAGAGAGTCTCTGAAATATCAAATGGGGTTTTTGGAGACATAAACCGGTGTGAAGAAAATGGCGCTGCTCCAGGAAATGCTGCATTAATAAGTATGACATATGCCATTTTCTAATCTTAAAGTCATCATCATCTCGGTCCCAGTCCTCTGGGTCATCTGTGACACTCCACCGACTGCTCTTTTGTTCAGGAGGCCTCTTATATATGACTTTAAACTTGAAATTGAGGCGGCGAGAGGTGCGGATAGACAGCAATCACATCTGGGTTTCAGTGTATTATGGCACACTCAATAATCTGCATCCATGCATCTTGAGTTTATTTTCTCGGATCCATCTGTCATACATTATTGAAATGGACAGAGACATCCTACCTTCCCCCTCCTGGCAGAGGGAGGAAAAGAAAACACTGTGGGATGGAGAAGGGCACAGCTCTCAGCTTTAATTAACCGCACAGGGCAGCTCACTCCTCCTCCTCCTCCTCTTCTTCTTGCTGATCCCCTCTGTGCTCCTCTCTCCGCTATGTGTGCAAATCACATGGAAAGAATGTTAAGTTTCCTGACTTTCAATTCAAATTCCAAAAACAATACACTGATT